TGGAGACCAGGTTTTGGTGGTGTGGTTCTGATACCCCCAATGTACGAAAGGTTACGAGACTCACTTCCTCCACTTATGATCAGAAGTCTGGGCTAGATGTAAATCAAGGAACTGACAGTACAAATACATTTACTGGCCAGGAGTCAGGGCATACAGTAAAATATGGTATGGTTAATACCGGTCATGAACTGAGCCACAGAAATCAAGGTGCTCCCGCTGTTTACCATACCAACAGCTCAATAGACTCTGGGTACGATACCTCGTGCCACTTGAGGGATTCTGGGGAGCTGGTTGATGAAGGGATGTGGCAGCTTATGGGTGACTGCAGCCCCACCCTTAGCATGTACAAGAGTTATCAAAATCACCGTCGTCAAAGGCAATCATCCACAGGATCTGATGGTTTGAGTGACCAGGATACACTTAATGAGAGTTACTCCCCTTATACTCAGGAAAGAGATAAAGGATGTCTTGGTTCACCCTGTCAAACACCATACCATCACCAGCAAGGATGGCATACCCCTTGTTATACACCATACAACCACCAACAGGGCTGGCATACCCAAAGCCACACATCGAATCACCAACTAGATGGGTGGCATACTCAAAGTCACACACCAAACCAACAACAGGGGTGGCATACCCAAAGTCACACACCAAACCAACAACTAGAGGGGTGGCATACCCAAAGTCACACACCAAATCACCAACTAGAGGATTGGCATACCCAAAGTCACACACCAAACCACCAAAAAGGGGATTGGCATACCCAAAGTCACACACCAAACCACCAACAGGGGTGGCATACCCAAAGTCACACACCAAACCACCAAAAAGAGGATTGGCATACCCAAAGTCACACACCAAACCACCAACAGGGTTGGCATACCAAAAGTCACACACCAAACCACCAAAAGGGTTGGCATACCCAAAGTCACACACCAAACCACCAAGAGGGATGGCATACCTCAAGTCACACACCTAACCACCACCTTTGTCCTGACGATGTATGCAACCATCATACACACAGTCAATTTTGGATGCCTGAAAGCAACTTCCAATGTGCCCATAATCAGGAATCCAAGGAAATGACACAAATCACAAAATGTCATGATCTGAGCCAAGTATCCAAAGATAGCAAGCATATCCACACTGCAAGTCCATGCATAGGTCAAAGGTCACCTTACTTAGGTCAGAGGCCAAGGAGCTCTATTGGCAACAGTATGAGTAAGGATAATTGGAGTACCTTTTGTAGCAACAGGACAAATTTTGTGCCCTTGGTGGTTAATTCAATTACTCTACCACGGAAGCAAAACCTCAGAAAAACCGCAGACTACAACCTTGACAGACTGGATGTTATGAAATTACCTCATCAGCAACATTTTTATAGAAATGCTTCTGGGTGCGATTCACTCTGTACAACAAAGTTCCCAGCATTTCACTTTCCTGTTTGCAGTTATTGTAGCAGGAACTTTCGAACAGAGAGTCATGAAAGTTTTGGCTCCATGTTAAAGGTATACCTAGCATGTTAAGTTCTGCATGTCTGAAAAATGAATACAGATTCTTAATTGGAAAATGTTGTACAAACACTACAGGTTACACACTTTGACTTAAGTCCTAATGGGTACATTCGTGCTGTTGGGATAAGGTTAGTTGTGTCTGTATACATCATGCTGTGTTTGTCTCAATTAGATGTTGAGGTAACTTCATGTTAAATGTACATATCTGTTGAACAGAAAAATCTGTAAAAATTTTTTTAAGGGTGTATGCTACCAGAACGTGATTTTTTCTTTTTTTAGGTCACCTGAGCTAAAGCTCAGGTGACCTATTGCTATCCGTTTTCGTCCGTCGTCGTCCGTCGTCCGTCGTCCGTCGTCCGTTAACATTTTACATTTCAAACTTAAAGTCAAGTTCTGCTGGGCCGATTGAACTGAAAGTTGGTAGGAATGATCGCCTCATGGTCCTGACAAAGTGTTGTTATTTTTCGGGTCGATCAGAAATCCAATATGGCCGCCACGGCCGCCATTTTGAAAACCTATTTCAAACTTAAAGTCAAGTTCTGCTGGACCGATTGAACTGAAAGTTGGTAGGAATGATCGCCTCATGGTCCTGACAAAGTGTTGTTATTTTT